CCGAAGCTGGAAGGATGTTTCTTTTCCTAAGCCTGTGTATCCACTTGTGCATCCAGCTGTTTTAGTGGAAACTTATGAGCAAGGGGAAACTGTTGCACACTATGTTGATGGACCTGAAGGACATGACAGGATTAAGACCGCACTTGCTCATATTGGAGCTGATGCATTTTTGAAGATGATTGTGGTAACTATTTTTAATGGGTTCCGTTATGGTAACATTGTTATGTGATATCCACCTGATGATGCTTGATCCCTGTTTCCCATCATCTCATCTGTTTGAGTGAGAAAAGGATGATACCATTCCAGTTTCCATGAGCTTATAATTTTCTTCTTTCAGGATAACTTAATTCATGGTGACTTGCATCCTGGAAATATCCTGGTCCGGGTGTCTCCGAGCAAGGCTTCTCGAAAAGGGCTCTTTAAATCAAAGCCTCAAGTCATTTTCCTTGATGTAGGCATGACCGCTGAACTTTCTAAGAGTGATCGTGTAAATTTATTGGAATTTTTCAAGGCTGTTGCCCGTAGGGATGGTCGCACTGCTGCAGAGTGCACACTCAGATTATCGCAACAACAGAACTGCCCAAGCCCAAAGGCTTTTATTGAGGTGATGTATCTAGATGTAACTTTCTTGGTGGGAATAATTTAAATTAGGACAGTGAGGAGTTAGGAAAATGTTTTCTTTCTTATCTTCTTCTCCTTATTTTCCCATTTACTGTCCTGGCATCTCTATTCCATGTTAGCATATCTTTTTTTTTACCATCCCGCCCCCCTCCCCCTCTTTCCTTTTCTATACAATTTTTTTTTGTTCTATAACTATGTTATTTTCTGCTTGGTTTTCTAATACCTTGTGTCAACAGGAAGTCGAAGAATCATTCACTTTTTGGGGTACTCCTGAGGGTGATCTAGTCCATCCAGCTGAATGCATGCAAGAACTGCTTGAGAAAGTAAGGCGTCATAAAGTGAATATTGATGGCAATGTATGCACTGTGATGGTCTCAACTCTGGTTCTTGGGGTAATGTCTTTCCTTTCAATTGAACCTTTGACCAATTGACATGTCGTTTTTTGACTCCGTCCCTCTTGTCCTTTGCTCTCTTTTATCTGTTAGGAAAGAACTCCTTGTCTTTATGTTTACTGATGTATATAATGTGCTTTATGTCATTCTGAAGGAATATGAATAAATACCTGTCGTCATAGTTTAAGGAGTAAATCTGCCTGACTAGGTGAAACAGTCTAGAAGTTAAGAACAGGGACTTAATTCTCATTTTGGAATTGTTTCATAATAGTCCTAGGAGTGACTTGCTGAAATGCCTTTACAATATGATGATAAACTTGTCATTATTTCCAGTTTTGGTAATTGATTTAATTCTGTAACACGTATTGGTACCTGCTTTAAACTTGTAGGGTTGGCAGAGGAAACTTGATCCAGAATATGACGTGATGTTAACGCTACAGACAAGGCTGCTGGAAGCTGACTCGGCAGTGTCTTTTCCTGACATAATCAATGGGCGGATGGCTCCATAAAGCATTCTCTGAAGTACGATTAGCTATTGATGCGTCCTCTCTAAAGGGATCGTTAGGATCTTGTGTTTCTGTTTCTTGAAAACAATTTTGACAGAGCTGAGACCCTAGAATATACCAGTCCTTGAATAGCATCATAACTATCATTAATCTTTTCCTTGAAATTTTGAGCTAACGTGAAATTTCATCTTTCTGTAATTATTTGTTACTTTCCAATATTCATTGCTTTTTAAGCCCCATATCTCACAGGTGAAAACTGTGAAAAGAAGGGGCAACAAAAGAGAAATAAAGTGTCAACTATTCTTTTTCTTTAAAAAGAAGCTCATGTACCAGAACTTTATGAGTTTAACTAAGCTATATACAGATTGTATTCATTTGTTGCTTCATATACCTTGTCATATATGTACCTAGTCAATTTATTATGCTTTAGTCTCTTGTTTGATTCACCTTATTCCATGTCTGTGATCCTCTTATTGACATATGTTTCCTTTCTCGGCTTGCTTGAAACTCAGACCCTAGGCGAAACCTATTGTTTTCTGTTCTATCAATGCACAGAAAGGAGTGAATCATTTAAAAAGAAAAATTTCCTAATTGAACAATCTAAAATTAATTTAACCAAGTACAGGAACCACTGTGTGGAAAAGTTGAGGATTTCCAGTTTCCCTTCTGATCGAATAATTGCTCGAGAAAAAAGGGTGTATCAGATTGACAAAGATGAGTGATTGCATCATTGGAGAAATTAGCTGTTGTTGTATTGAAGAGAAGGTATAATACAATGAATAATGTTCCATCCTGGCTTGGCTGTATTAAGTACATGGTTGATCAATATTACACATTTACAAAGTCAGTTGCAGCAAAGTGGCTTAGTTCCAATTCTTGACTTCAATATTGGAGGGGGAGAGAGAATGGACAATTGCATCAAAATTTCTGCATGCAATGCACGCTATTTGCTAGGAACAATGCTTCTAAATAAGAAAAGACCCTTGAGCAGATGATAACAGTAGCAAGAGCCACCTACTTGAGAATCCCTTATATTACATGTCATTGTTCTTCAGTCTTCAAGTACTCACTGAACTCAGCACTGGACCTACACTCAAGAATGAGATTTAGTGTAATTTTAGTGAAATTTAATAAATATCATGCTAACAGCGAGACAAAGATGGACAGACAGAGACTTTAATATTCCACAAGTAACTTACTCTGCACATGTAAGCTCACGAATTTCTTTTATTGCTGCACTAGTCCTATAAAAGGCCATCTTCTTAACCTGCTTTCAGAGCAAACCAGTGTCATGTTCGCATTAATACAGAAAATGAACACTGTTAACTGGAGTAAATTTTTTACAAAGTTTACCTCAAACTTCTCTGCTTTGGCTTTATGATTTTCCGGAAGCAGACGAAGTTCATCAATCAACCGGATACACTCAGTCACATTTTCCGGTGAAACAAAGTCCAAAACCACATTAACGCAGGACTACAGGTTGTGACATGTCAAGGAAAAAAATAGAATCTTTATGGCCATATAAATTGGTATAAATTCATCATAAAAATGAAACAAATGAAGAAGCATATAGATCAAGTATAATATTTTTTGAATTTTTGCACATAAATTCATTCAAGACAGTAAATTCTATATCAAGAATTCAAGACCAAAGATATCAGTAGTATACATTACCTTAACATTCCTAATCTGGTATGGACAGCCAGCCGGAATTATAACAGCTTCTCCAACATGTTGCTCAAAAGTCCAAGGTTCAATTTCTAGAAGCAATATGAGATGGATATTTCAGTAACATTATCCTCAACTGTAACAAGAGATAAACCAAACTTAGTAAACTCACCATACTCCTCCTTCAGCCTTGATTTGTGA